ATAAAGCCAACTGCGGTGCTGCTGCTGCTGCTGCGCTGCATGTTGGCTTATTTTGATTTATGGCCAACTGAAATTGGAATCTAATTTCTTGGCCATTAACAAAACCAGCAGCAAAGCAGCAAAAGAAATTGTGTTCGCCTGCCTACGCAGAGAGCGCGACTTGCAGGCTGCAAGTTGCTAGCCCGGCCGAAAAAGGAGTCTGCAGAGTGTTTGGCTTTTGGCCAGAAGCTGGGCCGGCCAATCCCATTCCCGAGGGGAATTAGTTCTGACTCTAAAAGGTATTGAAATCACTGATTGCTTTCAGCAGGAGTAAATCAAGCCAGGCCCAACTGACTGGGAACTTTTACTGATTCATTAAAATGGATAATTTATTAGAAAGTCAGATGTGGGATTAGCTACAAGGCAAAATACGAGAACTTTATAGTAATTTGTATTACATACAATACTTGAGAAAGCCTCTAGCGGGTCAGATTGGCAATTAATATATATTTTTTGAAGGATAAATACAGAAGACAAAGGCAGCAGGTTGTTTCGCTTCAACCACGAGAAACTCATCAGTAAACTTTGCTACCAATCGGAGTTCATCGGAGTTCAAAGAAATTTGTCTATTATAAGATTCTCAATTAATATTATTCAGCTAACCGCTTAAAACTTCTCTCCCACATTTTATTATCACAATTTCTTGAATCAATGTCTGCAGGGTATTCGAGCTATCGACCCCTGGAGACCAGTTGCTCCGCCTTTTGATTTGGCTTGTTGTTTGACAAAAAAGCTGGAACGGTTAACTGCACTTTTGCACTAACTGTTCTCGGAGGCTCGTTGACAAGCCGGCAACAGGCAGCAGAAAATAGAAAATGGAAAATGGAGAACAGGCATCAGCAGCAACTAGCAACTGGCGACACAGCAGAAATAATTAGCTGCTAATTGCGTTTTATGAGATGCCCTGACAGTTAAATGATGCGGCACATTGCAGGTCTCTTTACATTGTGCGATTGGACTCCGGGCGATGCCAGAGATTAGGCCGCTAAATTGGCGACTCTCCCGCCCTCCGAACAATGATAATGCGTCCCCCTTATCGCGGTTAGTGGATCGCTGGAAACCCGCTTCGGGGCAGGTTCAGGAACTAACGAGGCAGGAATGCAAAGAGTGCTAATGCAGGCGGAATCCTGCCACTCGGCTGCCACTGGCTGCAGGTTGCACTTGGCCAGTGGTGGCATGCAGGCAATTTAAATGCAAAAAGTGAAGCTGTCAATAAAAATTACGCGAACGCCGCCGAGCCCGCGCCCCCTTTTGCAACTATTAATTTATTGCCTTGCGTGTCTATGCGAGTGCGTTAAATGTTTTATTAATTAGTGGCTTAGGTGAGGCGGGGGGAATTCCAGCCAGCGGCCTTTTTTCGATCTGTCAGTCAAGTGTCTACTTTCGGCTAAGGTAATCCCGAAAATCCCTTCCAGACCGCACTTGTTTTGATCAGCCTGAGAGCTGCTTTGTGTGGCCCCGAGTGATCCGTGGCGAATGTGGCTTTGATGTGGGCGCAGACTAGTCATGGAGCGGCCCAAAAGTGATTGAAGGCGGCTTAAGACGCTTGAGAAATGCCTGCACAGAACAAAAAACCAGCCATTTCAAATTAGAAATATATGTAAATATCAAATGTTAAAAGTCTGTGGGTGCTCTCTAAGAACCCATCGAACTATGGCAAACCTGACTTCATGAGATTAAGTTTTAATTGAAATTAATTAACATCCAATACATCATGGTTTAAGACCATTTTTTATTTCTGTGTGGGAAACATGCCGCTTGGGGGGAGCGGAACTCACGGAGCACAATTAATATGCGACGCAGTTGTGTTGGCCATAAATGCGTATAAACATGGTATAAGCACCGACCGAGGCAATTAGCATGGCCAACATGAGCGGAGACGCTTAATGGCCTTGCTTTATTTTCACATTACCGGGCGGCAGGCAGGCGGGCAGAGGCTGGGCTTGAAACAAAGGCAAGAAACAAGTAACGAAAACAAAATCATATTTTACCGCCGTGCATAAATAAATCACAAGAGTTGTAACGCTGTTGTTGTCGCCGTTGTTGGCTCGCACTTCATCGTGGCGCCGTCTAAGAAACAAAGTTGAAAGCGCCGAAAGAGCCAAGAGCCGGGAGAGCCAGTTGGCCAATTGTCTGGGCCAAGTCATGCAAGTTACCGCCACTTGGGCTGCACTTTGTTTTTGTAATTAAGTTGCATCTGCAGCCACGCCCCCGAAAAAGTTGCAAGTCTCAGGCAAGCGCCCCTAATGGCTTTGTTAATTAAAACCAAAATCAATATGAATGGGCCGCGATATTGCACGCCTCTGAGGCAATTCTGCAGTTGGGAAAAATATATCTATCGAAAGACATAAAGGGGAATATATATATCGAATCTTTGGATATCTCTCAAGAGGAATTCCTATAAATTATTGTTCAGACAAGTCCAAGATAATTCCCAAAGACCTGATAAAGTATATGAAATGAATAAGACAAGAGAAAGCAGATATGTACATATATATTTTAATTATAAATCCCGAAATATTGACAACATTTTGCCATCCCTAAAAGCAACCTTCGCTTGCAACATATTGCTCCCTGCTCGTCCCATTAATATTAAGTATGACCGCTGAGGCCATGGGATGGATGGCTGTAAAAACTTATTTCCCGACATCCCAACTAAATTCCTGGCCATCAGTTTCGTTCATTTGGACTGCCGAACGAGTCGTAAATGTGTCTCCGCCCGAGCCCGCCTCCTTGACGCGAAATAGAGACGCAGTGGTGGATAGCGGCTAAGCTCTTGAGATTTATGCGGCACTCGATGGCAGTTAAGATTGAATTGAATGCTTAGACACGAGCTGAACACAAGTTAATTGCCAGCGCAGAGGGAATGTGAACAAACCAGAAGCCATTGGCTCTGCCGAGAGCTGTAGAAATTATTGCAGTGCAATTTTTTAATATCTTCATTAAGCGCTCTGGGGCCCAGGCAATTAAAAGCCCAGGCGAAACCAGATTCGGAATCTCCAGTTTTGCATAGATCTAAGCTGGGAATGCCAAGGCGAAGATGAAGACGAGGCCGAATGCGGTGAAAACTCTCATCGATGGCAGCCGTTGGGCTTCTGGGCGAGAATTGAGAATCGAGAATCGGAGAGTCGAGAATCGCGTGTGGCTACCGGATTGCAGACGGATCGGATGAAGCCGTGTCAGGGGCACATCAAAACGGCGTCTGTTATTATTATTAATTATGCTTTGATTGCCTTCTTGCTGGAATCGCTTGGCATTGCTTGGCATCGCTTGGGATAGCTTGGGATCGCTTGAAATCGCTTGGAACCGCTGGCGGTTCCTGTTAGCAGGCCGTTTGGCAATGCAGCTCCCGAGCTTGGCTCTGCTCTCTAATTTGTGGTTGCCAAAGTTCGTCATCATCATCATCATTGTCATCGTCATGATGAGCTTGGCCAACAGCTAATTGAGTTGTGGCTCTTTCTCCTCCTCGCGCTCCGTTTCCCAAGAGCCAAGTTTGTTGCCTAAGTCTTTTGTTTGCCCCAAAACCCTGCATACTAAATCAAAGCCCTTAAATGTCCATGGAAATATATGCCAATATTGTTTTTCCACCCAGCCAGCCCCAGACCCAGTCCCACTCTCCATCCCAGGATAGGATAGCAGCGTTGCCTTTGCAGAATGAAAAGGAGGAAATGTCATGCGGCCGCGGGAAAACAATCGCCGGCCATATTTCATAAGCTGCGTGCCTGCCATCCGCGAAACACAATAACTTAGTCTTAGGGCCCGATATTTGCATGGCATTATGCAAAATCATGACATGAAAGCGGAGCTCGCTCCGCGCTGCCTTGCTTTACTTTGCCATATCTGCTCCGTCGGCCAGAGGCGCACAAAGGCCCCTGGTAAATCACACTTTGGCAGCTGGCAGTTGTCGCTGCTGCGCCGGCCCAGAGGCACTGCGTCGTATGCGTAACCCGAGAGTGGCCGCGTAAGTGGAGACCGGAGTGTGAGTGATGGGATGCCATGCGTACGAGCTCAGGGACGGAGGCAGTGCAGCGGAGTGCAACGCAGCGCATCGAAACCAGACAGCAGAAGGCACACTGTGGCAAATTGATTGTGGGGGGGACATCAATGATACCCTAAGAATATATTCGAAACCAAACCACTCAAGCTTGTGACTGAGACTTTGAGTTCCATTTACCTTTTTCAAGAAACTCTAATTTTTTGAATAGGAATTAATAGCAAGTTGATATACAGCATACTATTACTACTATTATCTTCACAATGGAAAAAATAGTAAAGATAAAATAGATGAATTAAGAGCAAAAACTATTTAATAGTTTTATTTACAAATATCAAAAATTGTAAAGCTAGTAGCTTAAGATATCCCTCAACCCATAAATAACAAAACCACAAAACAAAAAGTGAATATCATTTCCTTGAAATCCATTTAAAGTCGATTGATTGTATCAATTGAAATCAGATATTTTGTGTGAGGCTGTTATAAAAATAAAGCCGAGGCAATACAGCAAATATATATGGCTTAAGGAAGTGATATTATGCTTGAAAGGCTTCATATTTCACCAAAAATTTATATTTCTGATCCCGCCAGTGACTGTCACCACTGTCTTGGGGCTTCGCTTTGAGCCTGCCCATGGTCAGAACAAGTTGCTGCAGCTTGTTGCGTGTGTCTTGGTCGCACAACACGCAATGGCTGCTGTGTGTTCATTGACTCCTGCCTCGGCATCGCATTGCAAAGCATCGCAGCGCATCGCATCGCATTGCCATCAGCCACTGGAACAAGTGGCTGCTGGGACGACTCCTGCTCTCCTCGTGCTTCTACTCCTCCTCCTGCTCATGCTCCTCCTAAACTCCTGGCCCTGGTAATCAATCATTGCGGCAACAAAACGCATGCATTTAAATTGTCAGCGGCGGCGAGTGCACGCCGAATCGCATCTGACAAATGAACCTGCTGGAAAGTTACTCACTCATTTGCCTCCTGCTGGGCCTTGGCTGCTCCTGTGGCCACTTCCGCTGCGGCGCTCGTGTCCAGTTCGTTGAAAGTGAAACTGATATTGTGGGGATCCTTAAACGGCTTCATGCTGCGCGGTAAACTGCGCTGCCGGAGGCTCAGGTTCAGAAACTGTAGATCGCCGGCGGTCAGAGGTTGCAGCGGCACTTGCGGTGGTGGTTGCTCTGCTCCGGGTAATCCGACGGGGCCCGGGGTAATCCGATTCGCTGGAGGCGGCGGCAGGGGCGGTACAGGACGGTGTTGTTTCTGTTTGGGCGGCAGAGCTGGCTTGGGCACCTCCTCCTGCTCGATTGGTAGTCCCTCCTCCTGCTCGATGATCTCCAGCACCTGGGCGGTGGCCTCCTGTTCGCCGCCGTAGAACTTGACCATGTTCTCGGTGGCTTCCAGCGGACTGTAGTGCTTGCCGCGCACCACCAGGTCGCCCAGGTGATCGGCATCGATGCCGAAGAGAAAGGGATCGTCCAGGACGGTAACCCGGGCGTTCCTCTGGGTCAGCTCGCTCTCCTGCTCACCTGCAGCGGGGGCAGCAGCCTTAGTCGCCTTCTCCCCCCTCACATGGGCGCGCAGGGATCGCAGTAGCTTTTTGCTGCGACGCGGCGAGGAGGAGAGCGGGAAGAGAGGACGACCGCCCCTCGACTGGCTCGAGGGATCGCCCAGATCGATGCCGTCGTCCGCATCTTCGACGGCATCTAATTGCCCATTGATAAGATCGCTGTCCAGACCCATCGCCAGGGCCACGGTGTCGTAGTCGCGATCCCGGGCATTGTCCTGCATTGTGCCGGGCTCCTGATTAGCCCCCGCCAGCCGCTGGGCCGCCGCCTTGCTATAGAGCTGTCGGTAATATTTCTGCTGGTCGCCGTACAAAAAGCAGACGCGCCACCATTGTTTGCATGCCAGCAAATTGGCGGTACGTGGCACCATCGCTGGCTCCATGTTGCCAGTGGCAGTGGCAGTGACTGTGGGCTGGCCTCCAGAAGCATCTGCTCCAGGTCCTCCTCCCGCTGCTGCTGGTGCTGCTGACAGGCTGCTCATGTTGCTTATTATTATTGTTCTCGACCCGTAATTATTTTTCAGTTCTCGTTGCCTCTTGTTGTTAGCAGTGACATCCTGGTCTTGTAGTTGCTGTTTAGGCCGCTTTTGTTTTTTTGGCTTGGAAGTTTCTATAGTAAATTGAGTTTTTATGTGGAATGTTAATTACTTGCTTTGGCTTGCAGTTTTTTTTAACTTTTCACACGAGATTTATTCGTGGTTCTTGGTGAGCATACATTTTTGAAATATTTTCACTATTTTTTTGTTGGTTTTTTAATTTTTTAAAATTTTTTTTCAGTTTTGTGGCCTTTTGTTGATCACTTAATTCGATACAGATAGAGATACAGATACTGCCCGAGGAAAACTCAACTTTCTCGACTGGAAATTGAAAATAGTAGACAAAGGCCAACGCCGTGTTGATCGATTGCCTATAATTTACTTTCGAACAAGATGGAAATTGCGGCGGCATAAATTTAACACTTTCCCCAAACCGCACACGGAAGCTGCTGAAACCTAATCAAATTTGTGTAGACTCTGGAAATTGGCAGCTTGAACCCTTAATAGTGATTGGTTGTAAGCCAAATAGCGAAGTGTACACGCTTACAACGGCTAATGGCCGAGAGCTGGGAGCTGAAAGCTGAGAGCCGAGATGATGTCCGACACTAGCATCTCTCGACGGCCATCAGGCATCGAGCCGATTAGACACGCCTCTAATAAAGACAGCAGACACGTAGTAAAGACAGGTAGAGCTGGAAGGTGGAAAATGTGGAAAACAGCGCTGCTAAGTGCGAGGCCACTGCATTTTCCGTGGCGGCGATGCCCTTGTCAGATAATAATAACTTCATCCCATAGTATCCCCATCTTCATCTTCATCTTCATCATCATCAGCATCAGTATCTGACTGCCGCAGCTGCTTGAGGTTTGAGTGCTGGCCAAATGCCTTGGCAGCAATTGCAGCTTAGCCTCAGCTTCAGTCGTACAAACACGTACGATATAGCCTCTGTGCGTCCGGTGTGTGTTTGCCTACATCTGTGGCCATATCTGCGAGTATCCGAGTATCTGGGTATCCCAGCATCTGGGCATCCCGGAGTGCATTAAGCTGCTTTTAGCTTAGTGCTCCCCGTCCGACCGCCTTAATGGAGTCCACAAAAAGCGGCTCTTGGCTCGTATTTATGAGATCAATGCCAGCGAAAGGCTGTCAATCAAGAGCGGAGGCAATATTTATCAGATAACCAAGGCTTTCAGATCAAAGATCACAAGCAACGAAAGTCGCACGATGAAAAAAACCAAGCAACGTCAGTGTTGCAACGACAACTCACTTAGGAGGTAAGTACAAGATATTCTTCAAAGAATGGGTATTTAACCCTATAATTTTATCAAAAATACTCAAAAATGGCCGACCAATTACCGACCAATAACCTTTTTGCCCTGTGATACCATCAGAAATTACAAGAGCAAACATTCCACTCAGGGAAACATTCCGAACCCGAAGATGTTGAAGAAGTGGAGCTGCAGCCACATAATTGAATTATAAACAAGAACAATCGCAATCATAACTGGCTTCCGGCTAGCACAGAAATGGAGGATGTTTTCCAGCCGCAACAAAGTCAGAGCCGCAGCACGCGATCCCGGCCAGATTTGCAGTTAGACAGCGGGTGTGATTAGAGCCCAATGAGTGGGTAAGTGGCTGCGGGAAACCAGTTTGGGTTCTCCGGATGGGAGAAGCGGCACTGGAGCATGATTCACATGTGCCACAAAGAGACCTGGCTGTGGCTCTGCCTCTGCCTCGGTCTCAGTGCGATTAAAACGCGATCACACAATAATCATAAAGCAAAAATGGAGTCCAATGCCCAAACAAAGACTTCCGGCGCTCTATGGAGGCTAGAAGACCGCAGATCGCAGCTCTCTGATCGGAGGTGCCACTTGGATGGGTGTGGAGGGGAGTGTGGAAGACTAGAGGACGTGGATCGATGCCGCGAGGCACCGTTAGTATTTATTGACGGCGGCTGTTCGACATGTGTAAGTGACGCCGTCGCTGCTTGTCGCGTAATTTATCCGATGCCAAATTGCCGGCGTTAATATCTGATAATGCCTGACCCAGTGGCCGGGGCTGATTGAAATCGGACTGCGGACTGCCGCTTGACGAGTGGGCCAATGGGGCGTATGCGCAATTTGCGTGATGCTTGATCGGAGCAAATACAGAAGTTTTTGCTATTATTTGCTACTCTCCGTGCGACTTCAACTTTAGCTGGGGGCTCTGTCATCAATCCCCAGTTGCAATTACCCAGTTGGCCAGGATTTTAGCCTCTTTGCATACGGCACTCGGCTTTATGGTGCCTTTTATTGCCACTCATTTGTCCGGACTTCAAGTTTTCATGGCCGGCGGCAGTGCGAGGCTGCGTGGAAAAATGGCAGACAGGCGCAATTAATTTTATGCCTGCTTATGCTGATTTTTCTCGGAGTGTAATTTACAGCAATGCAGGTTAAAAAGTCAATTGCTTTGCCTTGGTTTACTTTCCCGGCCAGCGCAGACCCGTTCAGCGCCGCAGCTTTCAACCTTTTGTGCTGCCCACATTTCCACCGAAAAGCCTCTCTTCTCGAGCTCCAAATTATGTTATCAAGAATCCCATTCAGCGGAAAAAAATCCGACATATCTATGGACTTATCACTGCCTACCTAAGTGGTTTAGAAAGCCGCAGACACCTGACAACTCATTCTGGCGGCGGCTGCAACTGTAAACCGTAGAATTTCATAATTTATTATGCAGTCGGATGACGATGGCAGCTGGCACATTTTCCGATATTAACATACGAAAGAACGCCAGAACGGCAGACAATATAAACAATGAGAAATATGCACTTAATAGCGGCTTCTTTCCGGTTCTGATGAGATGTCTCACTCGCTAATGGATTAACTTGTTTGTCTATTTTACGACCCGGCTATAATTTAAGCCTCCGAAAGAGCCCAGCTCTGGCTCTGGGCCGGCCCGTAATAATTACACAGTTTAGGCCCGACAGCCAAACTAGTTTTGGGCGAAAGCCCGCGATCTAATGAGCCATTGTCTGGGTCTCATATTTCACCGGGTTCGATAATAATCTCACGCCTGCCCAAAGCCTAATCGACGGAGCGGGGTGTTAAGTGCCTTTGTCTGCCCCCCAAATTAATAGCTCTGCGCACAAATGCCATTTGTCGCCGCTCAGAAATTCCTTCTCGATTTTTTAATTGCGCTTACATAAAACATGATCGCAGTCGGCTGCCAATAGGTGCAGATAGAGAAAAGGTGATTTTAAATGGGGGAATTTTGGTATCAAATATTGGATTAAGTGGTTAAAAGGAGCTTAGGTTTTATTTACTCTTCTTGCTTGGAAAATTAAATGAAATTAAAGTATTTCTATACTTCTGATAAGTCTCGACATTCAAGAAGAGTCTTTTTATATCCCTAAATCTATATGCAATTAAAATGCTTTGTTAGTTAGGAATCCATTTAAATTGACTGATTTTTTGGTTCTGTGTAGATTTTCAGAGACACAATCTCTGCAGAGAGCCAAAGTGAAAATGAAAATCCAGCCAGTCACGCCTCCCAATCCCCAAGCATTGTGGGCGGCTGCTGGCAGTTGCCGCTCTAATCTGCGCCGCACTCGTGTTAAATGTCAAATGCAATCAAAAAACGTCGTCGGTGGAAACGGCCGCGTCCCGCTCCGTCCCGTCCCGGCTGGCTAACGTTGCTCTATTTTCCGGGGAACCCGTTCTTATCGGCCTGGAAGATGGTTGGGAAACTAACGTGAGCTGACAGGATGACAGATCAAATTGGGTTTTGCATACACATATCGACGGAGTCGATGTTTATTTACGACTTCCCGCCATAAATGCTCACAACGCGGCCCAATTAATTGACGAACTGAAATTCGCTCGAATATGATGATGAATGGTCGCTGAATAGTTGGTTAATTGTGGCCCCCAAATGGACGTGAGGCATGTGTAATATGCAAATGGTAAATGCTGGGACAAAAGACGGGGCTTGACATAACGAAGGTTGGGGTTTGTTGACCCCCGAAGAGACAGATCTTTGTTATGCTAACTGAAACGAGTCGATAGCGGTATCTATTCCAAGCCGAGATTCTTTTAAACGAATCTGTTTCTTAATCTTGCTCTGGCAATTGTGTTTTGGGCTGCGTGCCAAGGAAACTCGGCAACAAATTAACACGCCAGTTAGTTGGTCGTTAGTTAGAGGCGTCGATTGGGGTTAAGCAGCCGTGGCAGCCCGGCAGCTGGCCCAAAGTGAGGGAGAAAGTCGCTGCAGCCAAGCCATAATTGAGCCAACTAGTTGCCACAACTCGGCCATAAACAACAGTTTTATTTCAAACCGCCGCCAGCCATCAACCACCAACCACCAACCAGCAACCACTGGCCAAATGCCGCTACATAATTATGAAGAATTTCTTAATAAAGCCCGGAATCGAAGCCAGTGCGAAAATTGATTTATTCCGTAGCGAATTGCAGGGTTCCTGCAGCCACACTATCGGCTGAGCTTTAAATTTAAATTGGCATGTCGGGCAATTAGAAATCACAGATAAATTCAAATCCAAATCCCACACGCGGTCTGCCAGTTGGCCAAGTCAAATGTCGCTTGTCAATAAGGTGTTTTCAGCTGCAAAACCCATGTCCGAAGCCCACACACGCCAAGGCAATTGCTAACAAGCCATTGTTGACACATTGCAGGCCATGTAAGTCGATTTCATTACGCTCCTGTGGGTGGCCCTGGATCGGCGACTATATATATATATATATATATCTCTGGGACAACTAATTGGATCTCTAAAGCGGAGAAAGCCGCAGTTCGCCGATCTCAGTGCGCGGTAATCAAATTATTTTCGGGCTTTGCAAAGTGTTTCGGTGTTTTTATGGCTAGACAAGTCATGTTTTATGTGTTGGAGCAGGTCGTAAGCCTATTTGGTTATGACTTCATTCCGCGCCGAGCGATGCTGTGGCAGGTTGGAGAAAGTGCGCGGCGAGTGGCGATTAAGCCGAACGCATCTAAATAAATCAGTCAGAGCACTTTAGTTGACGCGTAATGTGCAGGGGCTCAAGAGGGCCGCTGGATTGAATGGATTTCCCCCAGTTCGTTGCCAAAGTCTTTCGTTGACCCCACCGCTTGGATTCGCAATACCAAAATGTAAATGTTTTGGAATAAAAGCCTGAGGATAATTGAGTTTTTAGGGCAACAAAGTTAAGAGATTCGCTTATTATTTCAAAAAACCCAAAAGGGCTAGAGGTACTCATAGATTTGTATGGCTATTATGGTTCTCCTTAAGCCCTCTTCTCTTCTATCAAGAAAGTTTTATAACCTTAAAGAGCTATCGATTCGTGAACAACACATAAAAGTTCTAAAGAACATTTTATTGGGATACTTGGTATTCAATAGAATAAATACATAATCAAGCCTTTTCTGATTATAGAAAAAAAAAACAAAATTATATATTACCCTAGATGTTAGTACTGTTACTTGAAATGTTACAAAATTCTTGTTTTCTGAGTCCAATCAGATAGGGGTTTTTCTTTCCGTGTGCCTACACACCTCGGTAACCGATTCTCCCATAAAAATATTGGGTTAGGGCAGCCAAGCCGACGCCTGTGCCGCGCATATCAAGTCCGTCTCGTATTTCATTCGATTTTTAATGCTGCCTTATTGTGTTTTGTGCCTGAATCTGACTGTAGCTGTAGCTGTATCTGTATCTGACTCTGTATCTGTATCTGTATCTGTATCTTTGGGAATGCGTAAGTCTCGAGTATCCGCGTTGACAAGCCTCAGAAAGCACGGCTTAAATCGCACCTTTTGGCCACTTGGTTTATTGCAGGCTCTTGACATAATTTAATGCCCGGCGATCTATATTCCAACTATGTAATTCACTTGGCCAGCCGGAGGGGCAAGGCACCCTTGCCGATTGCCGGTTTACTGGCTGCACTTCACTTGTTGTTGCACAATTTTCGGGTGAATTCTCGCCAAATCAGTTAGCAGCTTCGTGCACTTTGCTCCGCGATCTGGTAGGAAAACGGTAAATGACAGATCTGGCGCAAGATATCACGGACCGAATCCGAATCCGAAACCGAGCACATCGATCGATCGATCGATCCAAGCGAACGAAACACGGAGAGCGTGCGCGCAACAGGTGCCGACTGATCGCAACAGAAGACGTTAACAGAATGATCGAGCGGCTCGAACAAAAGCTAAAGATCAGACCTTAACAGTGGAGTAACAGCAGTGACAGTGCGATCGAACGGTTCGGTTGGTCTAACGATCGCTCGATCGGTTTTGGTTATAGTTCTAACTTAAGAAAACATTAAAATTTCAGTAATCTTACTAATGATGGTGAGATTTTAAATTTTTTAACAGAATAAATAATATATTTAGATTTGGTGTTTGTTGTATATATTATTATAAAGCTACACACAGCCTACGTGCAACATGTCAGATGCAACCTCTGCTTAAACTCACATCCGAAAAATATGCTAAGAATTTAGGAAACATAAGTATCAACCGAGAAAAAATGATGTAAAACTAGTTACGATGGCTGCTTTTGGGCTTTCTAACTTTATATACAATGTGCAATGCTATGGTAAACAAAATGTAAAAAAAAAAACGTTGTATACTTTTGAAAGATCTAGTCTGGCAGATTGTAAAAAACAATGTAGACTCTTAGTTTTTATATATATATTTTTTTTTGTTGTATTAAGTAAATAAAAACTAGTACCTTAGGCAAATTCTTGATCATTTTATTCCCGGTAAGATAAATATTAAAATGTTAAATATTACTAACTAGCAAGTAAAAAATAATACTTGTTTTTATCACATGTAGCAAAACTGTAAAAACTTTTTTTTATAAGGTTTTGCTAAGTACCTCATTGCTAATTTTTTAATAATTAATGTTGACTGGTAAACGAAAATGATAAAGACCATCAAAAAGATTTTAATCCTATATAAAGATTCTGAGGCTCACTCTTTGTTTTCCCAAAAACTGAACTAGAACATCAAATGTATTTATAAGAAAATGAATCGTATCTGCTATAATATTATATTTTATATTAATGTTTTTTAAATTATATGACTTGTTTCTTAAAAATATATAAGTTATACAGAAACAATGCCATTATATTCAGAATATTAAAATTAAGTCTAGAAGAACCCCTAACCTCATGACTTATGGTATATTTGTGTCCCAAATTAGGCCATTGTAAGTTTTGACTTTAACAACAACAAAGACCAAAATTGAGTTCAACCTAATGTAAATCCGTTGCTTTACAAGCGTTAAGATATATAAATGTGTTTCCCAATCTTGCTTCACGCACTTGGCTCACAAAAAGTGGCCATAAAACGCGACAAGAAACGCGAATGTCAACTGACATCGTTGGCCAGGTGAGGGGTTCAAGGTTAATCTCCCGTCGACCATGTTAGTTGGTCACAGTGCAGGCCAGCAATGGGAATCATTAGGGCTCAATGCGGTCTGTGGGCTAATTAGCAGCGGAAATGCACTCGCGATGTGTGATGCGTGATTTATGGTGTCTCTGGAGAGAGCCGTGTGAAGCCCCCAAGGCGCCGACCCCAAAGACTTACCCACCGATGCACATACATATCTCTGCTCTGGCTTCACTTGGCTTACCTGAAACGAGGAGAGAAGACAGAAGGCGATTAGTCAAGGGCTCAAAAGGGCCAAAATGGATATGTTCTAGGAGCGACGGCGTCTGGCGTTGACGCTATCTCAAAATCAATTTGGCTAATTGCAAGCATAATGGCCTCGTTTGCCGCCACATTTCGTCAGACGCCGCCGAATGGGAACGTGAAAAGAGCAGCCCCCAGGAGGCAGACAACTCCTTGACACGCCAACTCTGGGCAGGATATGCGGGGGCGTTTATTAGTGAAATAAAATAACCCCCAAAGTGTCATCAAATCAATGCAAACTAGCAGGAATCGAAGTCGGAAACGAATCTTTTCCGCCTGCTCTGGCTTTTCCAACATTTGCGCGCCATTAAGCCGGACGGCTTGGCAGGCTGTCCTGGCAAATGGGCAATTTTGTTGGCCCATAAAGGGTCGTGGTAATGGGAAAAGTTAGCGCCACATCCGGGGCACAGGTGTGTCCCCGGACAGGGAAATAGTTCTACACACCCTCCCTCCACCGGGCTAATAGATTTCCAAATCAATAGGAGGCCTCCCCCAGGGCTAGATTCTTTTCTCTGTATTTGCTTTTTTACATCGAATTTGGACTGGGCTCTGTGTAGAGCTGCAAACCAGCTCCAGACTCAGACGTACTGGGTGCTCTCGATAATGGAGACTACGTCCTCGGCCATGTCACAAAGATGCGAGTAGGTTTGCATGTAGAGCGAGTCCCTGTAGGGCTTCCGGGATCGCAGCTTCTTGAGCAGGTACAGAGTCTCGTTCTCCTGCCTCAGCTGTCGCATCCAGGGCTTCGGTTCGGAGTCTTCATCATCGTCGTCTCCATGTTTCTTTTCCAGGTCGCGCTGCTTTGCCTGATATCGGGTCACCTCCGACTTCAGGGCGCTCAGCTCCAGCGAGGCCATCATGTCTTCCCAATCCTGGATGCCGTTGCCAATGCAACCCCGCACGTAGATGAACCTGGAGCGGTCCCGCTCCTCGTTACTGCCGAACCGAATGGCACGTCTAGTATTGACGCCTGGCTTCATGGACTCCTTGATCTCGACAAACCTTGCGTAGTGGTGCCGCCTTTGCTCGGTCTTTGGCTGTCGCAGGATCAGCGTAAGGATCGTTTGCAGCCGCAGGTCCCATGCAGGCTCCCGAGGTTTCTTCAGCTCTTGGTACAGGGCCTTTAGGGCCTCCAGATCGTCGAACCTATCGCAGTGGTAGCCCGGGTTCTCGCTGTTGAACACCTCACGTTCGTCAAAGACGCGCTCGTAGGGACACACCACCTCGTGCGGCTGTAGCAGAGGCACCAGCGAGGCATGTTGCTGAGCCAAGTCTTTGGTGAACCGCTGCTTCGACTTGTCCAGCACCAACTTCAGCTGACGCCGCAGCTGGCCCGTGTACTCGGGCGACGGGACACACTTGCCCGTCAGCTGGACCATGATGTGGCTACGTGAGAAGCCTAGAACGTTGGGATAGATGAGGATCTCAAGGCGCATCTTGAGCTGGACGCAGTCCCGCGGCCGGAAGAGCGCGCGGCAGACGTGCTTCTCGCCGGGGAAGACGACGAACAATGAGCGTGGAATCAGGAAATAGTCCGTTGTCATGGGCAGGGACTTAGGTCCGCGCCGGGATGACTCGGAGGCGGCCCACTGGCAGGTGAGCATCTGGCAGCCCACATTCTCTAAGACCATCACCTCCTGCACCACGTTCTGGTACGGGTGGCACTCGAAATAGAAGTGTCCCACATCGGTCGAGGCGCATCGCATGCCTGCCTGAAAAAGCACCCCGTTAATTCTAACGGCGGCGCCTGTCAGCTCCGGGTCCGGTTCTAGATCCCGATCCGGGACAGCCGGCACATCCACAACTAGATCCTTTTCCTGATCCTCCTGCTCCGTCTCTTCTGTGGTAGTGTTGCTTATAGAGACCATGGAAGCGGCGGAAACTCGCTCGATCGGCTTAAGGCTCGTGGAAGAGCCTTTGAGTGTCTCTTTTTGCATGCTGGCGCTCACCACCTCCAGGCTGTCGACTTCCGGATAGAACTCCAGCACGCGCTTGATGTTGTCGCTCTGCTGCTCTATCCGGTCGCCCAGCACCTCGGACTGGAGCCACTGGGCTCGGTTTTCCGGTGCCTGCAGCGGCCGGCCCATGATCTCGTTCTTGGTGGCATGCGTCAATCCGCTGACCTCCACTTCCACCGTTCCACGCCGCTCGGCGAGAGGCAGAGTCTCCTGGAGATCGGGCAGACACTTGTACTGTTTCTCGACGCAGACGGGCTGCGCTGGCAGAACGGCTGGCTGCCTCTGGGCCAGGACCGTGGGATTCATGCGACCGGCCAGGTCCAGCAGACGCTCCACGGCGCCCCGGTCACGCGGCCCCACTGTAGACGGTAGGTTGATTAACATCTCATCAGGCCGACGACCCACCTGGCGGGCGATCTTGGCTTGGACAGTGGCGCGATCCTTCAACGTGTTGTACCAGTGCTTGAGCCGGTGGTCCATGCTCAGCGAGTCCTGCAGGTCGTCTTCCAGGGAGCACTCTGAGTCGGAGAGCTTAATGAAGCCCTGCTTCTGTTCGATTATATCATCGACGACGCTGGTTATCACCTTCCTGGTGTCCCTCTCCAAGGCATTGGACGAGTATTGCTTCCTGTCGAATTGTACGATGGACAAGGATTTGGGATGAACGTTTTTAGTTGTCGAGTCATTAAGCTTCCGTTCTTTTCCCGCCAGGTAAGACTGCATCCATAATTGGTGGCGCGACGATAGCGACATGGTCGGTTGTGAAATAAGTTTGCGGCTATCCATTTTTTAGGTTTCCACAATTTTATGTGTTTATTTTATTTATTTAATATTTGGTTTTTTTTTTGTGTGACGACTGCTAGATTTCGGCTGAGCTGTCAATTTTCGACACAATTTCCTCGGCCGCCTGGCAGAGGTCAACTTGGTGTTCCCCCGTTCCTCTCCGGTTGGGGGTGTCAGGACTGTGCGTCCCTGACCACGCACACCAGTTGGATGAGGGACTGAATGCTAAAGTTTCAAGCGAGGACCCCTTGACCAGCTGGAAGAACTTCTTGAGCTGCTCCAAGTCAGCGTGTCTGCGACACTACAAGTTTCTGTTGCGCGCTAACCGAAAGCCACACGCGCCTCCTATGAATGCTCAACGTTAGGACACAGCGGCGACGGAGAAAGATCTGGGGCAACGGGAAGATGAGCCATCGCTGCTTCACAATGGCCACGCAGCACGGCTGGTAGACCACGGAGACGTCCCGGATGCCACCCAAAGCGAGAAAAGCCCCCCAGCCTGAAGAGTGTCGATGTTGGAGAAGAATTTTGTCCTCAGCCAGCTAAAGGGCAGCTCGAGGTTACCGCAATTCTCAATGCGGATGACTGTGTGCAGGAGGCGTTGGAAGGGATCGCAGATGAAGTAGGGCTCCACGGTGGGCGGAAACTCCGGAACACTTGACGGCGCTGCTTTTGCTGAACTGCCCGCCGCTGGACGTTAGTCCACACTGCTCCTAGCTCCTGCTCTGTGCCGAAGACACGGAGGAGAGGCATTGCTTTAGTCAAAAATTTTTCGCTCAAAAAATTACTACACTTTATATTGGTGAATTATATTATATTTCTCCGAAAAACAATTAATCTGATTGACAAAAAATAACCTAATATTATATATAATATCTTTCCTTTTCAGTATTTTTGGAAAAATATGAACCTACATACATATTTCGAGTGAAAAAGTCAGATATACGTTGATAAAAATATAGAGCTAAATATCAAATAAGAAATATGTCATCTGTTAATTTCTCAAATAAAATAAAACTTTTACTGATTACGGTCTCTGATAAAAACATAAAATATTGAAATACATCGAATTTAAGGTTGTATTTATCAAAATATTGATTTATCGCATTTATATCTCAGCGATATATCTCGAGTTGTGCATTAAATATCGAAATTAATGTATCTATACTTTCTGTCATCCCTAACTAAATTCTTTTTCTCTGCTGCAAAATAGGCCGTTTGCCACAATAAGTTCGTAAAAACTTTACCATATAATGCGATTAAATTTCAAATTAAATTTATCTCTTATTTGAAACATATGCTCATAGTGATTGGGTGAAGATGAGTCTTGTTATCTTTTCTGAGGAAGATAATTGTAATTTTCTTTTAACTAATTGCATTCATACATAATACAGGAGGCTATAGCAGAGCTGCACACAACCAATCAAAACCAAAGCTGGCCAAAATCCTCTTGCTTTGCATTACACCGGCAAGTTTTTCTAATTTAGGAAAGGATTCCGGATTCTTAAGTATCCCATAATAACAAACGTACTGAAGGAGGCGCTCATTATTTTTCCTGCTAAGCTAGCTCGACTTCTGTGCTCTCGATGACGGACACAATGTCCTCGGCCATGTTGCATAAATGCGAATAGGTCTGAATGTAGAGGGTGTCCCGGAAGTACTTGGATCGATACAGCTTGCGCATGACTGCCCCCCGAATCTTGTCATCGTCCAGCTCCTGTTCTTCGAGGATCTCCCGTAGTTTCTCATCGTCGATGGGTACGATGGGACGGAGCTGCCGCATCTCGTGGTGACTTCCCTCCTCGTCGTCCTCCTCATCATCCTGATCGGAGACCGCCAGCAAGCTCTGGTAGAAGCGCCGCAGCTCGGGCTTGAAGAACGATTCCTCCACATTGAACATGAGATCCTCCCACTCGGCAATCCCGTTGCAGATCACGCCCCGCACGTAGATAAACCGGGTGCGCTGCTTCTGCCCCTCCCGGCCCGCGAAGGTTTCGAGGGAGGAGCCTCCGAGCATCAGCGGGGCTAGCAAGTCATTGAACTCAGCGAAGAGCTGCTCCCGCTCTGCCAGGGCCTCCACGCGCAGAATATAGCCTCTGATGGTGGAGAGGCTCAGATCCCAGGGGCGCTCGCGTGGCTTCTTCAGTCGCTGATGCAGGGCCCGCAGCACCTCAAGGTCGTCGAAGCGGACGCAATTGTAGCCCGGGTTCAGGGCGTTGAAGGACTCCCGATCGTCCAGAACGCGAGGGTACGGACAGCAGGTGGGCGGAGGCACCACCAGGGGAGCAAGGGCGCCTAAGTGAGAGGTCAGCTTGTCCATGGCCACCGCGTCCGACTTGCAGATGCAGGCGCACTGGCACTCCAGCAGCTTGGCCATATAGTCCGCCGGAGGAGTGCAGCGTCCATGGAGGCGCACCAGCAGCGATTCGCCGCAGAAGATGCGCGGCTCCACCTGTAGCAGCCAAAGCTCCACGGCCATGGCCACCTTCCGCGGCTGATAAAGCACCACCAGGCTTCGGCTCTCACCGTGCATCAGCCGAAAGCCATCCAGGTCGAAGAAGAACTCGTTGTCTTGTGCCAGCAGAAGGGATGCCCGGTTATAGAAGTACGTGCTCTGCTTCCAGCTGAAGGAGAGCGTCTGCAGCCCGATGTTCGTCAGCTCCAGCACGCGCTTGATGCGCCGCCGAAAGGGATCGCAGGAGAAACGGGTCACGATCTCGTAGCACCCATCGGCCTCTCCTGGTACATAGTCCACTCCGTTCACGCGCAGACCCAGCTCCGGAACAGGCGCGGGGGGCTCGACCTCCGTCGATTGATCCTCAGTGCCCCCCACAGTCTCGCAGACTAACTCCTCGGAGCAGAACGGTGCACTGTCGCTATTGGTCACCGTGTGCAGGGAGTCCGACTGCAGCAGGACCGTCGGAGCGAGAGTGGGTTTCAGCTTGCCCACACTAGTGCCCGTGACCTGAAGGGCGGTTAGGTCGGGAAAGAACTCAACCACCTTCTCGATGGCGCCAAAGTTCTGCTCGAGCCGCTCGTCCAGAAACTCGGACTGCAGCCAACCGTCTGGACGTTTCTCTTCAAGAGCCTCCTTGCCCAGCAGCTCCCGCTGGCTCACCTCCGGCAGGCCGATGATCTCCACCTCCTTGTAGCCCACCTGTTCGGCATGAGGGGCTGTAGCCTCCGGGCCAACAACGAACTGACAAGTGCACGGATCCTGCCGGTCAGGCAGCTTAGCCACTGGGGCCCTCGACGCTTCCTGCAGCCGCTCGTAATCCATGCGCTCGGCGTAGTCAAGCACCCGTTTCACCGTCTGCTCGTCGCGGTTGTCCAGCGTGGAGCGACGGTTGAAGAGCACCTCGCTGGCCAACTTGCCCGTCTCCCGCTGCACGCGCTCCTGCATCTTCTTGCGCTGCATCAGCACTTCCTTCCAATACCGCAGCCGCTTGTCCACATGCGCTTCCCGTTCCGACTGCCGCGGCCAGGGCATCTCGGCCATGTGGCAGGAAGATGAGGTCTCGGGAAAGTCGCCGCGTCGTTCCATAAAGATCTCCTTTAGGATGTCACCCACAACGCGGGCCGAATACTTGCCCTGTGGAGGTGGCATCTGCGATGACGTCGCCATAATCTGCTTACTCTCCGAGGAGGTCAGCGACAGCATGGTGACCCTTGAGATGGTTCTAGTTGTGCATATGTCATTGTTGAAATCGGAGGACAGCTTGGTTGCAGTCTCCGCGTCTACGAGGTCCTTCTTGACCTCGTCCATAGTATTCTCTTCCTGGTGTCTTATTCTGCTAGTTTTCATGGAGTTCAGTATAGAGGTATGTGGACTTTAAATGTAATACAAAAAATATACATAAGACATTCACGGAGTTGTTGTTCCAGGTCAAATTCAAAACTGAAAAGGTGATTCAATTGCTGCCAAGCCAACTAAGCTGTATATATTGTGCTAGTATTTAGTTGTATTTAATTCAATCCAATGTCGATTAGAATTGAAGATAAGTTCCTCTTCAATCCCTCTCAGAAAAGGATCCTTTTTAAATCGGAGTACCCTGACCCTGGTTGTTTTCATTATTTTTATTGCAGCTCAAAGTAAGGAAATATATGTATGAACTTGAGAGTAGGGCGAAGCTCGGTATCTACAATTGGAAAAGTCTGAAAATGATTTGAAATAGTTGCCCACAGCCAGCATTTGGATCATAGGTGACTTGTGCTTTCGATCACGGACACGATGTCCTCGGCGGCATCGCAGAGCAGATTGTAGGTGTGCATGTAGAGGGAATCCTTCAAATACTTGTTGCTCCTGGTCCTTCTCGAGACATTTTCTATGGTCTTCAGCTCCTCCGGCAGCTCCAAGAGATCCTGAAACTGCAGGGTTTTCCTTGGGTTCTCCTCCATTTCCTTATTCTCCTGCTCCTTACGTTGTTGACGCAGCAGCTCCATCTTGAAAAACTGTTCGTCCAGGCCTAGGGCCATCTTCTCCCACTCTTCGATGGCACTGCTGATGGTGCCACGCACATAGATGAAGCAGGCCCGGTCCCGCTCTGGATTGTGCTCCATCCGGATGAGGGCCTCGCCCCTGTTGCACTTCATCGGCTGGAGCAGGTCGACCAGCTTGTTGTGCAGACTCTCCCGTAGCAAACGGGTCTCCCGCCTACTGATGGAGCGGCGCAGGCTCTCGATACTCAGGTCCCAGGGCCGGTCACGAGGCTTCTTGGCCAGCGCGTATAGATCCTTGAGAGCCTCCAGATCGGCGTACCGCTCGCAGCGGTAGGAGGGGTTTTCAGAGTTGAAAAGTTCTCGCTCGTCAAGGATTCTCTGGTAGGGACACATCAGCGGTGGGTTCTCGATGATGGGCGCCAGGCTGGCCTGCACCTTGAGGATGCTGTTGGCCTGCCGGAGCTGTTGCTTGTCGCCCGGCACCTGCCGGTGGTTCTGCAGTCGCCGCAGATAGGGATCTGGCATGGTGCACATGCCCTGGATGATTACCATGAGGCGCCGGGTGCCGCAGACGGGCGACTTGACAAGGCACAGACTCCAGCGCTGCGTGGTCAAGCCCACAACCTGCGGATGATAAAGAACGCGGATCTGCCGGCGACTCTTTGGCTCCAAGATGAACTCGCAGCGATCGAAAACCAGCTCGCCCTCCATGGGCTGGTGGTCTGTCCGGGAGCGATTCCTGCTCGCCCAGTATACGTGCAGGAGTTTCTGGCTAAGGTTCTGTTGGTTTTCAGGAAAAGGATTATATAAGTTTTGAGGCAAAGTCACAAGAAAGGTCACTATAACCACAAGATGAGTAACGCCATATGATTTGTTTGCACTCTCTTTTTCAAAATCTAAATAAATCTAGCAAATAGAGGCCTCACATAGTTACATGAGAAAAAGAAAATTAGCAATTTGGAAACTCGCGAAACCCAACATTCTTTCTGAATCTTGTAAATATTTAGAAATGACCAGCTCGAATATCAAGGACCCCGACTTTTACCTGAATGTCCACCAGTGTCTTGACCACACGCTGGTGAGGATCGCACTTGAGCAGCAATTGGATGCCCTTCCTGTTCGGCCCTTTCATTTCGCGGTAGTCGTATAAACATCCGTTAATCATCACCCCATCAGTAGTCTGGTACTCATCCAAATCGGTGACCTCTACTTGTTCTTTGCCAACTTCCTTTGTCGCCGTTGTCACCTCAATGTCTGCTGGACCGTCCTCTTCCTCCCACTCCTGGAGTATAGCATCCATCTCTGCCTCCGAGTCCTCGTCATCTTCCTGTGTAGAATCCTCGGAGATGGCTTGCATGTGGTCCACGCCAATCATGGTAATAGGATCCATCTTGGTGTGCGTCTCCACATTGGTGGGGACAATCTGCAGCTTCTCAAGTTCGGGAGCAAACTCAAGTACGTTTTGGATGGATTGCTTGTTGACCTGGATTCGCTGGCCAAGGATCTCAGAGCGGTGCCACTGGCTTTCGGTGGCAGTCGCGGTGGCAGTCAGCTCCTCCTGGGTGACCTGCGGAAGGCCGACGAACTCCACTGGCTGGAGTTGCGGCTTGGCTGCATACAGTTCCCGAATCTCGCGGCAGAGCTCGGGTTCGCAGCGCGCCTTAAGCGTGCCCAGCATAGAGTCCTCTTGGACACGCACCTGTGGACGCGACCTGTCAGCCGTGTCGAGGACGCGCAGGATCATCCGCTTGCTGGCCTCGTCGATGGTCGTCGGGCGGTTGAACAGAACGTCCTCGGGCCGCTTGCCCGTCTCCCGCTCGATTCGCTTCTGCAGTCTGCGGCGCTGCTCCAGCACGCGGTTCCAGGCCAGCAGCCGCGGGTCCATGACCAGGTCCTCAGCAACCACTATGCGCGAACACTTCACTTGGTCCAGCTGTTCCATCGAGCTGTTCGATGCATTCAATAGGTGGGCCTCCTCACTCAGCACCTGTTTTAGGATGCTGTCCACAGTCGCATTGGCCGCCGCTGCGGCGCCTTCTTCCCCATTTTCCAGGTAGTTATCATTCATGGTGGATCGTGCGGAATGCATCGTAGGCTTTTGCTGCATCCTTACCGTAAGCAAAGAGGATTGGGTGCCCTTCATATTGAATGATTTGTTCAGATGCGAAGCCCACGGACAGTATTTCTATGACATAAACGTGTTGTGTGAGGTGTGTAACAGCATGGCAGGCTAAGTTTGCACTTTTCCTGGATTTGGATTTGTCCCTCAACTTTTTTTTTAGCTAACCAGATAAAACTAATTGACCTTATTTCGGCATAAGTTCGCCCTGCAGGCCCGAAGAGACTTGAGAGTAAATTTATCGGCTAGCCAAGGCCTGGTAAATTGCAATTTATGGGACTAGCTGTTGTGCTAATTTGCTAACAATACCCACCAGCCAGCGCCAAACAGCGCCCAACAGCCAGGAAACCTGGTGGTGTGACAAGTCATCGTAATTTGGAGGCTCCCTTGCCATTGCTTCTAGCCCGGCCAAGACTCAATGACATTGACGTGCCGCCTTCACACAATTCACACAAAAAAGTTGCTGTTGTTGATGTCGATGTTGCCATTGTGACTGGCACCGCGTCGCCAAAGAGCAAGGTATCGCCGGGGCTGTCGTATGTCAACTTACCTGAAACGGAGAGGGGAGAGAAAATATTAAATTGATTTATACACGAGTCATGTGCAAAATTAACAAGAAAGCGACTGCGAACTATTCCTTATTTATGGACGGTTCAAAGGCTCATTAATTATGTCATCTGCGGTTTGGCAGGAGGTCGGATCGAGGAGTTGCTTTCATGTGGCCGGGGGTTGGGGCACCCAAGGAGTTCAGGGGAGGAAGTAAAACGGGGTTCGCATCCCAGAAACAAACTTTTCACCCAACAAAAGGGCGAAACAAAGCCATATCAATTACCCTGGCAACCGACCGACCGAGCAGAGGTATAAAGTAATTTGGCCCAAACCGCTGCGGGACGGAACGGGTCCTGGCCAAGAACAAAGGTTAACTAACCGCAGGAAGGGAAGCCGAGTAGGGAGCGATAGTTGGACTGGGACTGGGAAAGGGATGTACGGAAATGCATCGCATTGTTGGCTGCTTCAATACTCATCATTATTACGGCGGCTGGAAGCCCTGGAGTGCATGTGCTCCTTCTACGTGACGGCGAAATGCAATCAACATATTGTAATTCTGAAATGCATATTGAGAACGTGCAAAAGATACTGCCACTCGCACCACAATGCCGTGGAATGGGAGACGAGACTCTTGCTGCCGCTGCTGCTCTTAACGGTCCGGCGGACGAAAACAAAACGAAGCCAGGCCGGGGGACATTGTTGCCACCGCATCAAGTGCAGCCAGCAAAAAATCCGGCAGCGTTTGCATTTTGATTTCCCATTTCGCATGCACTCAAGCAACGCATTTATTATTTACCAGCCAGCAACAGGCGACTGCGACTCAATACAGCAGACTCATGCTGCAGTTGTCAACGGCTGCCACGGAGAACCTGCATCCCGATCCCGATCCCCCTCTTCTTCCAGCCGCATGTTGCATACCACTTGGTGTTGACAGTGAGACAACAGCAGCAGCCACAGCAGCAACAACAGCGACTCCAGACGCAGACGCCAACTGCTGGCGCTCGTTGAGTGAAGTCAGATAGACGGACGGACCGAGTGACGGACGGATAGTGGGACAAATAAACCCGTACAGTCTGTTTGTGCACTATCAATGCAAAAATGCTGATGGATGGCGATGTGGAGTCGGTGGTGTGAGCAGGTCTTGTAGCATCCATGTAACGACATGATACATATATAATGTGGGACAGCTTACAAAGAGAGAATTATCCCTTGCTGGAAATGAATTCTAGTGTTTTCTTTGAGAACTTTAGGTAAGACTTTGGTTCAGTGCAGTCACTATTATCACCAGAATTGATAGTTTTTTTCATTATACTATTTATAGTATGAGTAAAATTTGCTTTGCTTTTATTTATTGAACCTTCTCATTTAGGATACTAACAATAAGTGTATCAAATCTTACAATACTACCTAACTAGCAGTCATGTAGACTGGTACAGAGTAAATAGCCCTGACTAATTATGGCTGGGTTGGTTGGTCGTTACGTAGTAGCCGGCTTCTGTTGGAAACCCGAATCAAGTCCCTTGCTAGAGGATTTGGATGGGCAGAGACTTTTTCCTTGTAGACCGCTTTTTGTTTTTAGAAAATTATATTTCATATATTTAACAAATCGAAAGCAAGATCAAGTTAAGAATATCAGAAACTGATGCTTAAACTATTTGTATTTATATTCTGATAGATCGGAAAAGTTCCAAGAACTTTTATAAAATTACAATGCTTAAAAACATTGAAAATTAAGATTTTCCAGCCATTTCAGATAATTATATATCGCTTTAACTCGTTAAATAGTATTTTTCAACTTGGCAAAACTAATGCGAACCGACTACAAGATACCTAGAAGATGAATCTCTTTATGATAACTTTTCAAATAGTTATAATAAAAATGGGACCCATTCTATACAACACCAAATCAAAACTATTGACAACACAATGTCAAAGCTGCCCACTTATTAATGATGTTGCAAACATCAAACCGATACACCATCTGTCAACTGAGCACAACAAGGGTATTGCACACACTAAAATCGTATTTATTGGCTTTCGGTTAGTTGCTGCTCGACATGCAAATGCCGTTCGCCGCACTTGATGACGCCCATAATAATCAAATTTTTATTGAATGAATTGCAAGCTGTTAAGACGCGAAAATTATTGGTCAGGCGCCGAGGCCAAATCCATTGAGATTTTCAACGGCCGGACCCGGGACCCGCCCGGCCAGTTCGAGTACGGGTCCGAGGCTCGAGTCACATGTGTGGCCATAAAAGTGCGTTACAAATAACTGCACTTTTATTGAATGGCGGCGGTGCGGCAAGTGCCGATGCCTTGGACCGTTAGAGCGGTCTGGGATCGCTGCTGCTATCGAATCTAGCCCGAAAGCTACACGGGGAAAAATAAAAAGGGAGCAGTTTAAGCTGAAATCATAATCATTTACTGGTATCCTAAACGAGGTAGTTACTTTCAAATATACCGTATAGGTAATTTAATTTCTTTACCGAGAGACGGACATGGGTAGATCAACTCGGCTGCTGATACTGATCAAGAATATATCTACCTCATAGGGTTGTGTATGTCTATTTAAATGCGTTGCAAACTTCTGACTGAAATCATAAAGTCATATCTTAGGGTATATTTAAAAGATCAAGTCGGTGGCTTGACAGAGAAATTTACCCGCCACTACAGGTCTACAATTACCATGGGAAAAATCTATTAAACTTTAGTGTTCAAGTTAAGATAAGGTCTAATTCCCTTTTAAATATATACCAAAAGTACCAATATTTTAATAATATGTTCTCCCAGTGTATGCCCAAGCTCGAGCTCTGCTCCACTCCGCTCGGCTTCTCCGACTTCGATTCGAGTTGATTCGAGTTAATTGCTGTGCAATTTGTGAGCAGCAAAATGGAATGCGCTGTCAAATCAAACCCGAAGCACTTAATTAAAACTTATTGAAGGCAATCGCCAAATGTGGCCGCAGCAATGGCACTCTTAATTGCATAAGCATGTTGTAGTGTCGCAGTGTGGCTGCTGCAAGTTGCTGCAGCAGGCTGGCGGGATTACCTGACTTCGGCGGACTTGATGACGGCCTTGGGCGGTGCATCCCAATAGTTAGGGGCCGGCGGCACCCACTGGCGCAGCACCTGGTAGTTGCCCTCCAGCAGCGCCATGCCCTCGATGACCTCCTCATCCGAGTCTCCATCGTTGGGCGGTCCGTCGACTATCGCCCGACTATCGCTATCGGCGTGCAGGTTATCGAACGAGTCGCTCATTGTTTCAGGCTTTTGGATTTGGGTTTGGATTTTGGCGCCGCTTTCACTGCCACAACTCCGCTAGGAGAGTCTCGAATTTTGGGGGCAAACAAAGATGCGCAATGCCATTTGCGCTGACTCACAGATACACGAGCACGCACACAGATACACTAGCCCTAACACACAAAGAACTATTTCCCCGAAGAAGTCGCAAACAATAACAAAGGCAGCCGGCACATAATACGAGTTGGAACTGAGATTTCTGTTCGCTACACGGTCAACTTCTAGGGAATTTTGTAATACTTTCATCACCCGACGTCTTGGAATTAAATTTATTTATAGTATTAATTCGCATTATCGCGCGCGTTATCGTTGGAAGCTGGAAATTCGCGGAATCACCGGACGGAGCGCGTGGCCTCCGCTCGCGTTGCACTCACGGATGGTTCTTGCCTCGCGTTGCGTTTGTTTTGGCACGGCGGGATTGACAAGCACGGCGAAAACACAACACTCTCCTGCACACACACACACACACACATATCGCACGTAGCACAAAGGCGCACCAATACTAACCCCCGGACACACACACTCGTGCAGCGGAGGGTTAATATCTGGCGCTCGCCTTTGCATCCCTTGTCGCTGCAAGAGAACTCGCCCCGTTAGCGCCTCGCGTCCTTGAGTCCTGCGACTTGGCTTCAGTTTCAGTTTCAGTTTTGGTTTGTCCTCGCTCCTGCTCCCGCTCCTGCTGGTCCTTCCTCTTTTTAGCGAGTGTGTAAAATAAGGGTTTGAATGTAATGTTTTTATGTCTGATTTCGTTTTCCTAGATTGTGGTGGCGCAGTGTTCGATGCACGCATATTGTTGAAATTATGTAGCCAAAAGAGCGGCTCGAAAAGGGGGGTTGTGTGCCTGAGAGTGGGTGAGTGGACTCACCTTTCGAGAGCCCGGCACAGTGGCTCGAAAGATTGGAGATTAAGAAACTGAAAATCTGGCAGGACCTCATACTATATGTATTTATTTTTATATTCCTCATTTTTTCGAAATGAAAGAACAGAAATTCTCAACAACTCACTTTATGGAAGGCAGTGTAAATTCTAGATCTGTGAGTTGGAGGCCCTGGGTTTCTGTCTAGAGGCTGTTCGAACCTTGCTCCAGTTTAAAATGTGCTTAGAAGAACCCATATTTGGTGATGGTTTATTTAATGGTTTAATTTATGTTTTAATTTAATAACATTTTTGATACATTTGCAATATCTAAAAATGGAAAAAAGTCCTTCTGGCATTCAAGGTAAATCATTCTCAGCCCACTGTGCTCAGAGGAAACCTAT